ACATGGCCACACGGATAACCAGATGTTTGCCATTTCATACAACTACACGTCTTTGCATTTAGATCGACAAGCCCATTTAAGTTATTATCCAGTACTTCAAACAAAGTGTTTGAACATGGTTCAACTCTCCATGACGTTGACTTCACAACACGTTTCGTTATCTTTTTTTTTCAGTCCATGGTGTAACACGATGTTCCAATGTTCCTGTAAATTTAAAAATAATACTTAGTAAATATATGATAAGTTACGAATTTAAAGAAATAATACCTGCATGGTTTCTTTTCTTGTAGTACCACTGTTGAATAGAGGCTCGAAAAAACTCCATTAACATAGTAATGGGTAATTTTCGGGAATGACGACTTAGAGCGTTGATTGATTCTGCACTATTAGACGTCATGAAACCATATCTTGCTCCAAGTTGATATACTCTTGACCATCTTTCAAACCCGACATCTTCTAGTGTTTGAGCACACTGAGGCAAAACACGTCTTAAACAGTTTATATGCTTATTAAAATCCACTTCCCGATAAGCTTTTACAGTCTTCAGTATGTCCATTTGTGATTTTTTATACCAGCAGACCTTGATTTTAGATTTCTATACAAATGAACACCACAAAGTCCATGAAAAGCATCTGGGAAACACCTTCTAACAGCGTTGTCAATTGAGTTTGCCCTATCGGATATGATTGTCAGATTGCTAATAGGACCTATGCAATCCCTAAGATGCCCCATAAACCATGTCCATGAATCAGAGGTTTCAGATTTGCCAACCCCGTAAGCTATTGGCAGTATCCCATTGTTAGCATCCATGGCTACTGTTAATAAGTTTACTCCAAGGTATCGACCTTTTAAATGTGCTCCGTCAACTATAATAACTGGGCGCATGCAAATAATAAACGAACGAATCTACAAAATCATATACACAAGAAATATAATCATTTAAATGTGAAATGCATGTAACTAACAAAAATGAGTCAACAAAATTATATTGATTTACTAACCGCAGCACCAATGGCGATAAACAGCAACTCAAAGCGTCCATCTCTATCTGTTTTGATATGAGTTACCGACCCCAGGATTTTTCAGCTTTAAATTGTGACAATAAACCGGCAGTTGGGCAAAAATGCTTCTGGCGACCCCCTCAACAATTCCAAGGCATAACATTTGGCTCTCCAAGCTTGAGAATATGAGATACTAATCTTGAACCGAGCATTCATGTTAGTCATAATTTCATGTCCCCGATATACCCTACCATTCAAAAACATTAACTCAGCCAGAAAACCACCCAACACCTTTTTGTTTGCTTGTCTATGGTGAGGAAAAACTTGGGTTCTTGAACATGTATGTTTATCAATAAAAGTCCTAACTTGAAACATTTTGCAATCTTTTATCCTCTTTGCAATCATACGCCACGTACAGTTTTTGTCAATCATACACCTTGTTTCGAAACGATCTTTGCTTGATTTGTTAACTTTTAGTTGATAGCCATCTTCCACACATTTCGTATACAAAGCTATCTTCAAGTCTTCCTTTGTATCAAAACAATCATCTTTATTGATACGAATAATTTTTGTATAACAATCAACTGCTATCTTTACCAACTCTTCTTCCGGTATCTGAAGTAATTCTGGCATATTCCAGTTATACTCCCATGGCATTTTCTTCGGGGACTTTTCTTTGGGGATTTCTTCTTCTTCTTCTTCAGGGTTATATGAATTACATAATGGATGTTCAACATGTTCATTTACAGTCGTAAATTCCTCCTCATTATCATCAACAACATCTTCCTCGGCAATGGTTGTTTCATCATCAAAATTCGGGTATTGACCAATATCAAAATCATTACACGCAGGGTCTGTTTCTTCTTCTGAAAAATCATCAAAATCCGAGTATTGACCAAGATCAAAGTCCGGGTATTGACCAAGATCAAATTTCGAATACTGACTAGTACTCACAATTTTTTCTGTTGGTTCATCATCGTCTAACTGGTCAATACGAAAACCGGAATTTGGTGCTGAAAGTTGATTGGGATTTGGATTAGGGAAATGTTGTGGGTTTTGAGATTGTGTTTGGTATTGGAAATGTGGTGAAACAATATTTTCTTGGTGATGAAATTGTGGTGGAACCATTAAATTTTGAGCACCATAAACTGGGGTTGAAAAACTTAGTTGATTACTACCCGCTACTGACCCAACTTCACTACTTCTAGGTTCAACAACATACAATGTAACATCATCACTTGAAACACTAATGTAAGCAATGAATCGTTCAACATCTTCATTGTCGGTTAACAAATAAACTTTACCATTTCTCTGATAAGATAACCTAAATCCACTTAGGGGCTCTAAATTCAATTTATTTACAACACGTAACATTATAGTTTCATAAGTTAACTTTTTTAATGACAGTTTTAGTTGAAGATTCATGGGTAAAGGCATATATTATAAAACACCATGAACATTCTCCCATGACCCTCCAAAACACAAATCTATCCAAACATGATCAACATTAGATGATTTCATTATTGTAAATTAATTTACTAAACAAACGAGCTGCGAAACTAAAACATGTTGCCGGATGGGGAAGGATGTCGTTGGATATAGGAACGAATGTCGCCGGAGATAGTGATAGATAGAGATGAAATGAATTGCGATTTAGGGATTTAGGTTATGAGTTGCTGCTGCTGCGTAGTTATATACAAAAAACATTTGTGTTGCGAAACTAAAACCTGTTGCGAATTCAGAAATCGAGTTGTGAATTTAAAATTCAGTATTGCGATAGTCAGAATCTCATTGCGATAGTCAGAATCTCGTTGCGATAGTCAGATTCGCATTGCGATAGTCAGATTCGCATTGCGATTTACATATTCGCATTGTGATTTACGTATTCGCATTGCGATTTACGTATTCACATTGCGATTTACGTAATCGCATTGCGATTTACGTATTCGCATTGCGAATTAGGAAAATCGCAACGCGAATTTGGAAAATCGCAATGCGATAGTCAGAATCGCGTTGCGAATCTGGAAACTGATTTGCGATATCGGAGATCGCGTTGCGAATTATCGATCGTATTGCGATTTAGTTGGTCATTTTGGCAAATCCAAAAAAAGTTGGTTAAAATCGTATATTATAAGGCATTTTTTGTCACTGAGGTTATTTTCTAAGATCATGTATTCGAACCTTTCTCCCTAGGGATCCTTGAAACTGTATGAGTTCATAGCAATAGTAACAGGGGTGATGATGTTCTCTCTCAGATGCCATCATTCCATTCCCTTAGACACCTCAATTTTGCTTCTCTGATTCTCAGCTTGGGCTACACATTCCTTCTGGTTGGAGCTTGTATCCACGCAGGTATACAGATCATTCAGCTGCATATCTTGCAGTCCATATATGTAATCTTCCACCGAAATATGAAATAACCATACATGAACAGGTTGTGTTTAAACCATTGGTTCCATCTTTTAATCATGTTGTTTGAAGATCATAGTTGAATTCAGTTTCCTTGTGTTTAAGTCCTATGGAACCACGAAACAACTTCTACTAGTTCATCAGGTCTGTCTAAAAGTCCCCCTCACAGAGACTATTCTTTGGAATCTAATAGTTCATCACGGATGTTTAATGCCTTCACTTCTATCTCCATAATAGCTGCAATTTTCGGGAACGGAATACTTCCGGAAATACAAGTAAGTTTCGAATTCCTAAAGAGCAAATTTGAACTATCGTTCGTCCACAGATGCTTCTTCGTTTTTCGTTTCAACGAAATTGTCTCTGATACAGGCAACACTGGCTCCATCTGCTACAGAGAAGATGTTTAAAGGACTCCTACTGTTATACAGTGTAATTTTTGTCACTTTCTAATGCCTGATGATGGACCATCATTCAAACATTCTCAAGAGTCTAATGCCTGATGATGGACCATCATTGGCCCCACCAATGGTTATTGGCGTTGCAATTAGTTTCATTCTTGTGCAGCTATTCGCCATTGGCCTGGTATGATATTATTATCTTGCATGATCCGAGTTCTGTTTTCCATTGACATTTCTCCAATATATGTAACAAAGGTCTATTCTCAAGTTGCATATGTAACAGCAAACAGCTGATGTAAACCAAGGGATGTTTTCAAAGAGGAATCTCATCCCCAGGCTAATTCTTGAGACTCTGTATGTCATATTCAGTGGGTTTATAGCTGCAATGATTCCTTTTTTTGGTGACATCAATGGAGCAGTAGGCGCCATTGGCTTTATCCCTCTGGAATTTGTCCTCCCTATGCTTCTCTACAACATGACCCACAAGCGCTCGAATTCGTCCTTCACCTACTGGTTCAATCTGTTTATCATGGTCGTCTTCACCGGCGTCAGAATCATGGGCGCTTTCTCCTCGATCAGGAAGTTGGTTCTTGATGCCACCAGTTTCAAGCTCTTTAGCAGTGATGTGGTTGATTAAATCATATGCACAGAGCATTAAACAAGTCTGAAGCAATCCCGTTGTTTAAGCAGCTGAAATGTTTTTATGTTGTGGAATGCTTCATCAGGGTGGCATGGGGCTGAGATCGAAGGGAGCAATGTTCCAAGACAGTAAAGGATTTTATCCTTACATTTTGTTGCGGTCACAATTTAATGGTCACTATTTAATATTATGAGTTTAAGTATTCTTTTCCACGCATGAACCTTGATCTTTGGACAGCTGACGTAAAATATATATATGTGTGTGCGTGTTTCCTTTTACTTCACCATGCAAAATGCAACGAAATTAGATGTTTAAAATAGAAAGAAAAAAAAAATCTCCCAAATTGAATGGTCCATAATGAAGAGACCGTGAGCGTTATAACGATCTCCTTTCTTTTCCTTCTTTTGGATTTTTTATGGTAAATTGTTATCTCAGATCTTCCCATTTATAAAAGGCCTTCGTTCAACTCGGCTCAAAGGTGACACTCCTTATGACTCGTTGGAACTCAAATCTTTCAAACGCCAACTCGACTCAGCTTTCCATTTACAAACCATGTCTATGCCTGAATTTATCGTCGACACCACTGGAGCTCATCCTCCATTAGAGTACTCGACTACCCTTCCTCCACCCGTTTCCAAGAAGCAGCCTTCTAAATTCTCCCGCTCCATCGTTAAACTCTTCAAGTCCATGTTCAAGTCCAGACAAAGCTCGAGTCATTCGGTTTTGTGGCTGAAACAAAGATCACTCGAGGAGTACTACGTGATCTACGACAAAACGGGTGCACTGACCACGATCCCTGAGGTTCCCGAGATCGATTTCGGAGGGCTTTCGCCAGAGATTAACTCATTGGTTATCGAGAGAAGCGAATCGGAAATATTCACTGCTGCCTCCACCGTCGGTATTTCATGTGCTTGATACACTAAGCATAAAAGAAGCCGATTTTACAGAAATATTAGATATGTATATGAATAAAGACGATGCGATCAAATAGTCGGTATTCTTAGGATGCATGTTTTCTCTTTAAGGTTACAATCAAGCTGATGAATTATTCTCTTTTAGGGTTACAATCAAGCTGATGCACTTTGCTTTATGTATGGAGTTACTGTTTAAGATGTTCCATTATTCTTTTTTTTTGGTAGTATAATTTTTTCCTTTGTATACTTTTTTTATATCATTTATTTACTAAAATAACCCGTTAATGTTAATTAAGAGAATTTTCATGGAGTCGGTTTGTTCAGACATCCGAAATAATCTCATAGAAAATATAAGTTAATTTTTTTATTAAATTTTACATTGAAAATTTTGTCTCCAAAACAATTTTTTCTTCTCTAAAGTGGGTTAAAAATGACGATCAAGTAAATTTTAACACTAAATTGATAATCCCGAATGCATGATGATACTCCCATGAGCATGCATGATTTGCACAAATTAAAGTCGTTTCTTTAGTTATATCTGCCTACAAGATTTGCAAACAAAACAAGGTTGGAAACTAACCAATACTTGTTTACTATCATTAAAGAAGCTCAAAGATAAAGCTGTATTTATTTATTTATTTATTTATCTATTATTAGTACTATGTAGTCGTTGATCAGCAGTATTTGGTTTACATGCCGTCATTGTCAATCAGCTGGGTTGATTTTGCTTTTCCGTGAGTTTCAACTATTTCACGAAGCGAAAAGTTAAAGGGTTCCAACTGTTGGCCTATGCCATTTCCACACTTGATCTCAACATGGACGGTTAACGCTAACACACATATTAACATCTCAAACATATATCTTTTCACATTTTAGCTGGAAAAAATGTGAAAATGAAAACAGCTGGCACAATAAAACAATACCAATGATTGGGTTATTCTTCTGATTGATATCACATACACTCTGAGTTTATATTTATCGGATAATACTCAAGTCAGTTGTAATTAATTGACAATAACAAAAATTATAAAGTATAAATAAGAACATAAAAGATCAATAACTATTTTTATGAGACCTTGTTAATAAAGAAATTCATTATAATATTCTTCCATACAGAAGATATAAATCCTCAATCTATCCTCGAAATACTAAAAAAATTGATCTCAAATGAGTCTTCTAATTGAAGTATGAAGACTTTGGGTTATAAATTTTCTTCAACAATGATTTTTTAATATTATTTCATATATATTTAAAAAATTGTATTAGATGGAGATGAAATTCGTATAAATTAGTAAGTGAACTCAAACAAAATATATCAATCAAAATCACTAAAATGTTGGTGCATTTTCAACTACCGGTAAAAAAATAAATTTATTTACGTGGCTTTATGTATTAATCAACTTGTTTGATTCATGAATATGAGTAGCTACTACTTTTGCAATTAGCATCTCTTTTGATAGGTTGGAGGAGATATATACGAGCAGCTACTACTTGTTAAGTTTGGAAAGCAACCTACCATACATTTGAGAGTTCCCTGATTGCTAGGTGATCATCTGAAAACGATTGATTTCTACTATTAGAGAAAGTAAAAGTTAATTTTACTCATTGGTCAGCAAAGCAGCTAAGTTTGTAGTAAGGTCCCAAGCCCAATACCTCAGAGAATCCAAGCTTCAAATTTAAATCCACAATCTTGGGCAGGCTTGGCCCTCGTTTAGGGTTTTGAAGCAAAATGAAACCTGTAACAAATTGTACGGACATGGGAAACCAATGGCAACACTCGACGGAGGTACGGCATGCTCGGCCTGGAACTATTGCGGCCAGAGGTTAGCCGCCGGTTCCGTCGACGATTGTCTCTCAATTCTATATTCTCGTGATCCTTCGTTTTCTTCATTCACTTCGTCTTCCAAATTCAAGGTCTCCGAAACAAAAGAATACATTCTTTTTTGCCTTTTGTATTTATTTTATATAATTAATGAGTTTCGCTTTTTGTGCCAATTTTTTTTAGTTTTATTTCCTTGATTTAGGTGCATGATGGTGGCATTGTGAAGGTTGCTTGGATCCCGCCTGAGTATGGGGATGCTGTTGCTTGCATTGCCGGAGATGGAACTTTATCAGTATGGGAAGAGCTTGTGGAAGGTATTTAATTTCCCGACTTTTTAATGATTAGATTTGGCTATAATATTTAGAAAATGCTGATTAGTATTGTAAATTCTGGTAGGTACAAAGCCTATTGAATGGAAGATATGTAGGAGCTTTAAAACTAGCTCCAAGGTTTTAGATGTTCAATTTAGTGCCGGTCAAACGAGTTTGAAAATGGTGAGTTTTAAAATTGACTTCTTTTTTCCCCTTCTAATTCATGTCTACATAATAGCCCTTATGTTCTAGATATTCCAAATATTTTCAAGTACCAGTTTTTGAAGGGTTTATTACACACTCACAGTGTCTGTAACTCGTTTACTCGTCCACTCTATGATTCTCTTTTAACTGTCTTGTGTTCTATTTTTCCAGGCTGGATTTCACAATGTTATAGATTCTGTTTCTGTATTAGGGAAGGCTTCATGCTTAAAATCCTGTATTTCTTGGAATCCACAAAAGGTTGAAGGCCAGGAATCGAGCTTTGTTTTAGGTTTTAATTCTAATACGCCACAGCTCAATTCCCCCCAGGTATTACTAAATTCGTTTCCCGCACAGCTAAATTCTGCTGTAATATGATATGACCGAGACACTTGCATTGTTTCTCTAGTATGCCATGCATGTTTATTTGGTTTGGTTTAACAAGTTTCGGATTCCTGAGTTATTCTAAGCTATGCAAATCTGGTTGCCAAATATAACTTTGATGTTAAGAATTTGTTGTAGCATTTTTTAACCTGACATAAATCTGTGGATGGGTTGTTGAAATTGCTAACTTAAGCTCACTGTAGGGTTCTTTAGGTGTGGGAATTTGATCCTGCTCATCAGAGATGGCTGCCAGTAGCAGAGTTGGCTTTGCCTGGTGAGAAGGGAGATCAAGTTTATTCTAATATTGGACGGAAATGGAAACTATTATTCTTTGTGAAATTGTGCTTTTTTATGAGTCATTGGTTATTACGACTGTAAATGTTTTTACATAAGAGTCCACAGATAACCTCATCACCCCCATATAGAAGTGAATGAATTTGCTTGTGTTTCAATTTATATATTTTTTTAAAAATTGTTTTTAAAAATTAAAAATATTATTTAAAAAACATTTTTTTTTAAAAAGTATCCCGTCCCCTCCTTTCCCGAAACCCCAATCATTACAGCAAATGAATGCAAATGAAAGGTAATGAAAATGAGTCGGTGAAAATGTGGCAATCTAGTTCAGATTAAGGGCGGCCGGCGATCGTTTTTCTATTTTCGTGATTTTAGAAATTAAGGATTTAAATTTAGGATTTGAGATGATAACAAGAGTAGTGACTGATCAATGGATGGTTAACAATGAATGAGTTATTATTCGGCAATGGATGGATGATCATAGATGATCGATGACAGAAGTAAGTATAATTAAAATAATAATTTTATTTTTTAAAAAATGAATTATGTTTTTAAATAAAAATTTAAAAATATAAATATGGCGCGTGTTAGGTAACAGATTTTTTCAATGGCCGTGAAGGACCGTGCACTTAAAATGATAATGTTTGTAACATTAAACATCTACATTAACCGAAAAAATGTTTAGGGACTTAAATGAGAAATGAATTGTAGTTTGAATAGTTTTGTATAATTAAGCCAAAAAATTAATACCTTGATAAAGCATACGTGTATAAAATTTAGTCGAGTGGTTAAAGATACTTATGTTATTTTCGTGAGTTAGAATCTTGACATTAAACCTAAAAGTATAATACCTCTAACCTCTCCACTTAATAAAAAAAATATGCTCCATATTATATTCTAGCTTACATTTAATATTGAAGTAGATTGTTGCACATATGAAATGATTTGATGACATAAATTTCTATGTAATCATCTATATCTGATCTATCGATCTATTAATTCTAATCAAAAGATTATTATAGAATAACTCTCTCAACTTAATTTCACAATATTGAAATTTAAACTTTTAATATTATTTAATAGATTTAATGCGTTATCTCAATAAATCAATATGATAAATTATATATTTAATTAAAATATTTTAAATATAGAGACTACTTTAAAATTTGAACATAAATCTTGATTCTTGAGAACATTTGATACAATTAAGGACAAGACCCCCTAAATTAACAGAGTAGTATATATATTTTCTTTGGGGTTATATGCAGCTGAGGCCCACCGCAATTAGACCAGCTCACAACACATAGTAGCCAGATTGTTTGCATTAAAGCCCAAATCAGAAACCGAGAAGATCAAATTTCTGTACTTGAAGGCAAATCCAAGCTCCAAAAGAAAAAGGCAGAGAACTGAAACTGAATTCAATGAATCTTACCCGTGTACAAACTTTGTCTAAACTATCCACTTATCCTGTCCCTGTAACATTTCTGGGTTCTTCTTCTTTCTTGCAGAATCACCAAGCAAACCCAAGTAAATCAAGCATAAATTTGAGGAGTTACAAAGATGGAATAGTTGTTAGAAGGAAAGGAGTAACTGTACGTGGGTGGTTGTTGTTGGTAATGCTCAATCTCACATAGTATTGGAAATACTATTGGGAATGGTTTGGAATTCCCACTTCCTTGTTGAGTGAAAGAGAACAAAGGGGACTCTCGCGTACCGTCGCCGCCGCAGTCCGTCTCGGCTCGGCTCGTGGTCGTGGTCGAGAAATTTCTCTTTGAAAGAGACAAATGGAAAAATGTGAAAGATTTCAACTGATATTTATAAGCTGCTGAGGACTGTTTAATTTCAAATGATAACAACTGGTTTATGAGAGTTATCAAAAATTAAACAGCTTTTCCTAAATTAAATCAAAAATGTTAAGATGTATCTGGACTGATTTCCAGCTTTGTACAGAGGAGACAAGCTGTTAATATCAGAAGTTACAGGAGTTATTTGATTTAATTCCAGGGGTTACATGATATAATTTCGGGAGTTATAACAGTTGAATAATGATGCAATGAACCTGTACTATTTTTGAGTCAGGTTCATCTAGACGTTTCAGTTGTTACAAAAGAAGAGATTTAATCCTGAAATTTTATAGACGATTTTAACCCTATTTCTAGCATATAAATAGAGGGCTATATTCAGCTTCTCAACTCACTCTCAACATTCAGAATTCACTCTCCAAGTGTTTTCTAAATATTCTATCTGTGTGCTTTCCGATAAGAAGAGCAATACCACCGACAGTCCACTCCGATTTCGGGTGTACAGAATTCGGAGCGACCGTGTTAACCTCGGGGGACGGTCCGCCTACTTCAGCGATTACACACATCGGGGCGAATTCGTTTCTAAGGCAGTGATTATACCACGACACGGTTTACGAATCTGTTCCTTTTAATTACTGTTTATATTTTCAGTCAGTGCTAACGGTGTAGTTTTGCAGTTCATATATCCAATAATTTAGAAACGAATTCTATATACTGCAATCATGTCAACACCTTTGAGCAAACTGATACCCGATCTTTCCAAGCTCGATGCACTTGATGGAAAGAATTATAGAACGTGGTCCCAAAGAATCCTGATATTCTTCGAGCAACTTGATCTTGACTACGTTGAAAGAAACAAATGGAAAAATGTGAAAGATTTCAACTGATATTTATAAGCTGCTGAGGACTGTTTAATTTCAAATGATAATAGCTGGTTTATGAGAGTTATCAAAAATTAAACAGCTTTTCCTAAATTAAATCAAAAATGTTAAGATGTATCTGGACTGATTTCTAGCTTTGTACAGAGGAGACAAGCTGTTAATATCAGAAGTTACAGGAGTTATTTGATTTAATTCCAGGGGTTACATGATATAATTTCGGGAGTTATAACAGTTGAATAATGATGCAATGAACCTGGACTATTTTTGAGTCAGGTTAATCTAGACGTTTCAGCTGTTACAAAAGAAGAGATTTAATCCTGAAATTTTATGGACGATTTTAACCCTATTTCTAGCATATAAATAGAGGGCTATATTCAGCTTCTCAACTCACTCTCAACATTCAGAATTCACTCTCCAAGTGTTTTCTAAATATTCTCTTTGTGTGCTTTCCGATAAGAAGAGCAATACCACCGACAGTCCACTCCGATTTCGGGTGTACGGAATTCGGAGCGACCGTGTTAACCTCGGGTGACGGTCCGCCTACTTCAGCGATTACACACATCGGGGCGAATTCGTTTCTAAGGCAGTGATTATACCACGACACGGTTTACGAATCTGTTCCTTTTAATTACTGTTTATATTTCCAGTCAGTGCTAACGGTGTAGTTTTGCAGTTCATATATCCAATAATTTAGAAACGAATTCTATATACTGCAATCATGTCAACACCTTTGAGCAAACTGATACCCGATCTTTCCAAGCTCGATGCACTTGATGGAAAGAATTATAGAAGGTGGTCCCAAAGAATCCTGATATTCTTCGAGCAACTTGATCTTGACTACGTCCTGTTCAAGCCACCACCTACCATGCCGCCAACCCCAGCTACCGGTAATGATACTGATGTGGTCCTCAATGATGATGCCTTAGCAACTGTCGCTGTTGCACTCGCTACCTACGAGAAATACGAGAAAGACAACAAAACGATGCGAGGACATCTGCTCAGTCACATGTCAAATAAATTATTTGATATGTTCCTTAGAGAAAGGAGTGCCAAGACAATATGGGATACTCTCGATAAAAAGTATGGTGCGGACGATGTTGGAATCAAGAAGTACGTTGTCGGCGAATGGCTCAAATTCCAGATGACTGATGACAAGCCGATAATGGATCAAGTACATGACTATGAGAACCTAGTCGCTGACATCATCGCCGAAGGGATGTAAATGTGTGAGGTGCTGCAAGCCAATGGTCTCATTGAGAAGCTGCCCAAGTCCTGGTCCGACTACCACAACTCTCTTAAGCATAAGAAGAGAGAAATTTCGCTTGAAGAGCTCGTGGGCCATATGAAGATTGAAGAAGCCAATCGTTTAAAAGATAAGCTTACTAATTCTATGAGTAATTTGTCTTTTAGAGCTAACTTGGTTGAGTCTAAATTTAAGAAGATCATGAAACGTGGGAATCAAGACAAGAAGACGAAACCTCAGAAGGCTACCAACTTCAAGAAGTCAGGAAAAGCCAAACCTGAAGGAAAGACGCTCAAGTGTTATGTTTGCGGTTTACCCGGCCACAAAGCTTACCAATGCCAACACCGCTCAGACCGCCAGAATGACAACAAGCCACAGATGCACGTTGTAGAAAAATATGATGAGATCATTGCTGCGATGGTCTCAGAAGTCAATCTGGTGGAAAACAGTTCAGAATGGGTTATTGACACTGGTGCTTCAAAGCATTTCTGCGCAAGGAATGAGTTTTTCATCGAATTCGAGGATGGGAACGTAGGTGAACGTGTATACATGGGAAACTCTAGCAGCTCTAAAGTGCTAGGAAAAGGTAAAGTTTTACTCAAGCTGACCTCTGGTAAAACTCAGGCTTTAAATAATGTTCTGTATGTACCTGCATTGCGTAGAAATTTGATAAGTGGTGGGCTTCTGAATAAGGCAGGCATTAAGTTAGTTTTTGAGGTAGATAAACTTGTACTTTCCCAAAATGGTGATTATGTTGGGAAAAGGTTTTTAAGCAATGGTTTATTTGTCATAGAAACTCAATTTAATGAAAATAAAGCTACCACTTCTACTTATATTGTTGAATCCATTGATATGTGGCATGCTAGATTAGGACACGTGAATATTCATGCTTTAAATAAATTGATAAATATGAATGTTCTGCCTAAACTAGACACAACTAGCTTTAACAAATGTGAAATTTGTGTAGAAGCTAAGCATACTAGACCTCACTTTAAGATTGTTTCTAATAGAAATACTGAGTTGTTAGAACTTATTCATACTGATCTAGCAGATTTTAGAAACACTGAAAGTAAAGGAGGAAAACACTACTACATAACTTTTATAGATGATTATTCAAGATATACAAAAGTTTATCTCCTAAGGACTAAAGATGAAGCTGAAAACTTCTTTCTTATTTATAAGGCAGAAAATCAGTTAGATAGGAGAATCAAACGGGTTAGATCTGATAGAGGTGGTGAATATGGATCTAATTTCTTAAAAGATATTTGTGAAAAGAATGGCATAATTCATGAAACTTCAGCCCCCTATTTTCCTCAATAGAATGGTATAGCCAAAAGGAAAAATAGAACTTTAAAAGATATGATGAATTTTTTACTAATAAGTTCAGGGTTATCTGATAACATGTGGGGGGAAGCCATTCTATCGTCAACTCATATCTTGAATCGAGTTCCTCATAAGAAGTTAGATTCTAACCCATATGAATTATGGAAAGGATACGCTCCTAATTTATAATACCTGAAAGTGTGGGGGTGTCTGGCTAAAGTGGGTTTGCCAGACTTTAAGAAGTCCACCATCAGACCTAAAACCGTTGATGCAATGTTTATAGGGTATGCTACGAATAGTGCTGCATACAAATTCATGCTTTTACAAGATTATTCTATTTGTGAGTCAAGAGATGCTATTTTCTTTGAAAATACTTTTCCTTTAAAGGAACCGAGAATAAATATTGAAACACAAATAGAATATATTCCATCAACTTCTTCTAGTAATCATGTTAGGTCTTCTGAACAAATTGATTTTGACCCTAGAAGAAGTAAAAGGCAAAGAGTTGAAACCTCTTTTGGACCAGACTTTATTACTTCCTTTATTTTTGAGATAAATGATTTAGACTCCGTTTTAGATCCTATAGCTCAAATTTTTCTGTTAGATGAGGATACTAAAACTTTTGAAGAAGCTATAAGATCTATCGATGCTAGTTTTTGGAAAAGCGCTGTTAATGATGAACTAGAATCGATAATGTCTAATCATACTTGGGAATTAGTTAACTTGCCTAAGGGATTCAAACCAATCTCCAAAAAATGGGTCTTCCGGAAGAAACTAAGGCCAGATGGTTCGATTCAACGATACAAGGCAAGGTTATTCGTCAAAGGGTTTACTCAAAGGTTTGGTTTAGACTACTTTGATACATACTCTCCCGTTACAAAAATCTCAACGATTCGTGCATTACTTGCACTAGCCTCTATTCATAAGTTGCAGGTACATCAAATGGATGTTAAGACTGCTTTCTTGAATGAAGATCTAGATGAGGAGATTTACATGGAGCAACCACTAGGTTTTGAAGCACCTGGTATGGAAGGCAAAATCTGTAGACTCAAAAAGTCGCTCTATGGACTTAAACAGACTCCTAAACAGTGGTATGAGAAATATCATAAAACTATTCTTAGTTTTGGTTTTGTTATGAATGGTTTGGATGCTTGTGTGTATTCAAAGATGTTTGACACTGAATGTGTTATCATAAGCCTTTATATTGATGACATGTTGATTTTCAGTTCTAACATTGAGTCCATTAACAAAGTTAAAAATTTCTTGTCCACTAAGTTTGAGATGAAAGATTTGGGAGAAGTAGATGTAATCTTAAGAGTCAAAGTTACCAAAACTGAGAAGGGATTTTCTTTATGTCAAGCACATTATATAGAGAAAGTGCTAAAGAAATTTGACAATTTTGATGTTGTCCCTGTTCGAACTCCTTATGACCCTAGCATACATCTAGTTAAGAATAAAGGAAGTAGCGTTTCCTAAACTAAATATGCTAAATTAATCGGAAGCTTAATGTTCTTAATGAACTATAATCGGCCTGATATTGCTTATGTTGTGAGTAGACTGAGTAGATATACTCATAATCCGAATGGTGAACACTGGATTGATCTTAAACGCTTACTGAAGTATCTTAAGGGTACTTTGGATTGGAAACTTGAGTTCGTTGGCTTTCCTGCGGTACTGGAAGGATATTGTTATGCCAACTGGGTTTCTAATAATGATGAGGTAAGCTCTACGGGCGGGTATGTTTTTACTTTGGGTGGAGTAGCAATCTCGTGGAAATCATCAAAACAGACTTGTATTGCTCGTTCTACCATGGAGTCAGAGTTTATAGCTCTTGACCTAGCTGGGCAAGAATCCGAGTGGCTCAGAAGCTTGTTAGCAGATATTCCATTGTGGGGAAGACCGACTCCTCCGGTTTCATTATTGTGTGATTCACAAGCTGCGATATATGTGGCTAAGAACCAAGCTTACAATGGTAAGAAAAGACACATTCACATAAGACATGAATCTGTTAGACACTTAATAAAGAATGGAGTGCTCTCTTTAGAGTATGTGAAGTCGGAAAGGAACCTAGCAGATCCACTTACCAAAGGGTTAAGTTGGAAGCTGGTCCTAGATTCGTCGAGGGGGATGGTTCTAAAGCCCATTGGTTGAGGAATTCATGGTGGATACCCAACTTAGTTATCTAAGTTCCATGTGGCCAAACGAAACCATGGAAAGACTCATAGTGCACATTCCTACTGCCTATCCCTATGACGAATAATGTGCATGCCCAGGATGAGCTTAAGTACTCTTAATAAATTCATAGCCCAGGCTTTGGGTGGTCTTAGTGAGAAAGACTTGATGAATTTACCAATTTTGGCTGAATATCTATTCTTAATAAGTTCATAACCCAGAGTGAGTAGGTAGGAAATGATGAACTTACCGACAGAAAGGTTGAGTTTGTTAAACTCTTAATAAATTCAAATCCAAGTATTTGGATGGTTCTAGTGAGAAGGACTTATTAAATTTACCGATAAATGAGGTTGAATATTTATTCTTAATGACTTCTTAGCCCAAAGTTTGGGTGGTTCATTTATAATGAACTTGAAGAAAGTCACCATACCCTTTGTGAGGTTGAGCTATTATAAAAGCTCTTAATTATTTCATATCCCTTTTAAGGGTGGTTTATGTTGAGATAAACTTGATGAAATAACCTATGTAAGTGAGAAGAGTTAGCCGCATTCTATGAAAAATGTTGGGCCATTTTTCTAGCACACTTACTATAATCCTAAGGTAAGATGGCCAAATATATACTTTTGTATATATATATCTTACACATCGATGACTCAGGTTGATGAAGGGGTTAGTTGTGTGTTATGAGTTTACCCCCATCTTTGAAAGTTCCAGACTAGTTTCACTTATCTAAGAAAAAGATTGCTCATTATCACTATGTACTAGTTCCAGATACGTTCACTAGTGCTTAAGCAACTAATCTCGTTATTGCTCTTCTGGAAAGTTTGTTTTTGAGTTTCAGAAGAATTCTTTCGCATTAGTGGGGGAATGTTGGTAATGCTCAATCCCACATAGTATTGGAAACACTATTGGGAATGGGTATTTATGGTTTGGAATTCCCACTTCCTTGTTGAGTGAAAGAGAACAAGGGGGACTCTCGCGCACCGCCGCCGCCGCCGTTCGTCTCGTCTCGGCACGGCACGGCACGGCACGGCACGGCACGACACGGCACGGCACGGCACGAAACGACACGATACGGCACGGCACGGCACGGCACGACTCGGCTCGGCTCGTGGTCGTGGTAATACGTGTCTTCGACACGTCCACGCGGATACTATCTTTTTAGAGAAAATTCTTGAGGAATTTCTCTTTGAAATAAACAAATGGAAAAATGTGAAAGATTTCAACTGATATTTATAGGCTGCTGATGACTGTTTAATTTCAAATGATAACAACTGGTTTATGAGAGTTATCAGAAATTAAACAGCTTTTCCTAAATTAAATAAAAAACGTTAAGATGTATCTGAACTGATTTCCAGCTTTGTATAGAGGAGACAAGTTGTTAATATCAGGAGATACATGAGTTATTTGATTTAATTCCAGGGGTTACATGATATAATTTCGGGAGTTATAACAGCTGAATAATGATGCAATGAACCTGGACTATTTTTGAGTTAGGTTCATCTAGACATTTCAGCTGTTACAAAAGAAGAGATTTAATCCTGAAATTTTATGGACGATTTTAACCCTATTTCTAGCCTATAAATATGGGGCTATATTCAGCTTCTCAACTCACTCTCAACATTCAGAATTCACTCTCCAAGTGTTTTCTAAATATTCTCTCTGTGTGCTTTCCGATAAGAAGAGCAATACCACCGATAGTCCACTCCGATTTCGGGTGTACGGAATTCAGAGCGACCGTGTTAACCTCGGGGGACGGTCCGCCTACTGCAGCGATTACACACATCGGGGCGAATTCGTTTCTAAGACAGTGGTTATACACGACACGATTTACGAATCTGTTCCTTTTAGTTACTGTTTATATTTCCGGTCAGTACTTACAGTGTAATTTTGCAGTTCATATATCCAACAGTTGTTTCCAGTGGATCCATGTGCACCAAACATTGTCTCCGAAAGCATTGCTTCACAACTTTTTGCAGCTTCTTTGTTTCCTTACGTTGGGTTCTTGTACTTCATCACCAAGTCCAAGTCTGCTCCGAAGCTCAGCCTTTTTGGCTTTTACTTCCTGCTTGCCTTCGTGGGCGCCACCAGTGTGTTTTCTGGGTTACTTGTTTCATATAATTTCATTGCACTAATTGATATTATGAAGTTAGTGTGTTGTCTTCTTTAATGCTTTTATGTTTTTTACAAGAAACCCACTTAGTTGCTAAATGTATCTATGTTGGGAAACAATAAAGATAGGCTACAGGATTCTAGCATAGTACTAAATTGTGGTAGTGGCTGTGGTGTCACGGTTACAGATGTTACGAAAAAATAACTATGTTTTTATGTTGCGGATGTGGTTAAAGTGCCGTTGTGACCTTGAAAGATTGTCGTTGCGGCCACAATTTAGTACTATCATAGTATCATTATGCTCAAAGCAAACATAAAAGAAATGAGGGTTATGGAACAAAGAAAATATGTCTTCATTCAGTTTAGTGCTATACAAGCTTTATTACTACTGGATGCTTTTCTTCTGCAATTTAATTTTACTATTGGTGGCTTTGTCACAATTCTACTAATATCCTCTATTTTGATCTCTGGCTGGCTATGTGCCTACGGAGCAGTCCCAGCCGGCATTTATGGTAAGTTCTAACCAATAAACAAGAACTACTTTTAATACTTATTTAGCCTAATTATGACTATCCATGTGGTTGACACAGAGAAGGTGAATTATGGTACTTCCTTGTCTCATGTGGATTTGTTACATGGAGGGGCTGAATCACTTCTCGTTTTAACCAAATTATTCATTGTCTTGGGGTTGAGACAAGCTCTTAGGAAAATCAAGGATGCAAAAGAAAGCACATCGAGTTCTGTTCCAGGCGCGAAAATGCAGAAGAAGCCTTAAATACAGATAAAGTGTAATTCAATTCAGTTGGATATCGCTTCTTTCGTGTTGTTCTCTCCGAAGATTCCCTTGGAACATATGCAACATACAAATTCTTCTTCGCTGCTGACTAGAGCTTGGTTATCGGTTCATTTCTGAATCCCTTCCACCGGATTTTGACTTTCCAATTTAGAACTAATGATGCTGCCGGATTTCCCTAGGCACTACTGTTTTATTTGTTTATGTATACCATCTGATGAGGGTCAAGACAAGCAATGTTGTGTCTACTAAAGGGATTATTGGAATGTAGTTGCTTTTACACATATATATATACAGATTCTTCTCTTCTAAAATTTGGGATTTGTTCCTTTCATACTATGTGATGTTCTGTACAACTTATTAGGATTTTAAGTGGCCATAAGTTAATACTCATTTGCAGCTTGCAATGAAGTTGCAGCAAGTGTTAAAGCACATTCTATTGTTTATGTGCTTCACCAGAAGGTTTCTATAATGCCAATATTATCTTTTAGGTATGTTCGCACTCTCATATTATTGCAACTGCAATTAGAACAAATGCCAAAACTTGTTATCAGAAGCAATGTCTTACACTCAACATGAAATTGGAAGAGACTTGTGTATTGTACAATAGATCCTGGCGAAAAACAATGCTAGCTTGAACAGATGCAACCAGCTAATCTGGTCACTTGAGCCCGGGTTCTACATTTACCTTTACCCTTTATTTCGATTGTGAAAAAGAATTAGTCGAAAAACATGAAATATGATGTCTTTTTGCTCATATTTCTCCAACTGTAGCCATCATCATGAGTCCCTTCCAACAGGCTTTCGGAAGTAATTCTCACCTGGTCCGTCCAAGCACTCATATTATTGCAACTGCAATTAGAACAAATGCCAAAACTTGTTATCAGAAGCAATGTCTTACACTCAACATGAAATTGGAAGAGACTTGTGTATTGTACAATAGATCCTGGCGAAAAACAATGCTAGCTTGAACAGATGCAACCAGCTAATCTGGTCACTTGAGCCCGGGTTCTACATTTACCTTTACCCTTTATTTCGATTGTGAAAAAGAATTAGTCGAAAAACATGAAATATGATGTCTTTTTGCTCATATTTCTCCAACTGTAGCCATCATCATGAGTCCCTTCCAACAGGCTTTCGGAAGTAATTCTCACCTGGTCCGTCCATCTCGGCAACATATTTCTGAAAAACCCGATTCCAAAAACAAGAATCATTAGCATCAAATGAACAACATAAACATACAAGAAGCACGACTTGTAGCTTCCGAATTCAACTCTTCTTTGAGATATCTCTGCTATCCTGGTTTTCCTTATCCAAATCATCTCTCCGAGCGCTGCCATCGATCGATAGAGGCAACTCCGGCACACCGGATGTTGCAACCCCATTCTGTTGTGGCTGCTGCTGATCCATAGATCCATTGGATTTCAAAATCAGTAGAGTTTTCTCATACGAAGATACAATCTGTTGTACTAGCGAGTCCCTGGATTCAGCAGAAGACGCTGTATCCAAATGCAACCTTAGCTGTTCCGCTAACTCCATTCCTTGAATCAGTTCATTGACCAGTGTCCCCTGCTCCCCGTTCCATATATGCTCCATTTTCTTTTTCAAAACAGTTTTCACGGAAAGATATATTGCAGGAAACAGGGAGGGGTTTGTCAGGGTAAATTTGGTTATGAAGAAGCAAAAGCTTTCCCCTAAGGAACACAAGCACGAGCAGCCAAAGGGACTGAAATAACCTGACAGGTGTGTTAACACACATTTTCGTCTTACTAAGATTCAAACTCCTAAAAATAGGATAAAATTTTACTAGGATTCAAACTCCTAAAAATATGATAGAGTTCTACTAAGATTTAAATTCCTAAAGATAGGATCCACAAGCACTATAAATAGCCATTATAACTCACCATTGTAAGACACGATTTACACACAAAACATAGAGGAAAGCACGGGAAGATACAAAGACAAAACTATTGTAAAGGATTCGAAAAGGAAATAAAAGGTAGCATTTTCTTTTTTCTTTCTTTTGTATGTGCACGTTATTTTTCTTGAGATTTGGTTCGAATAACCCAAAACGTGGGTTGCGTCGATGACCAAAATGGGTAAGGTTTCGAAGTTTCGAACCTAGATATACCCCAAGGCTTATTTTTAAAAAACGGTTTGATTTTCGGTTAAAGGAGGGGAAGAGCTTTTTAAAAATCTATATTAATCCCTTTATTTATTATATGAATATTTTATTCATTTATTTTTATTATTATTATATGTATATATATATATATTAAATTATTTTCATTTATTTATTTTACTATATTTTATTATTATTATATATATATTTCTTTAATATTTTACTTATAAGTCTAATATTACTATATATATTGTAATTATCTTTATCTAGTCGTATATATTTTTATACTTTTAATAGTTTATTATATACATATTATTAAATATATATATCTTAATTTTTTATTTGATTATTTCTTTATTTATGTAATATATCTTATAACTTTATATTATATATTTATATTATTTTTATTATTTTCATTTTTTATTCATTATTGTTATATTATTATTTTTTTAAAAAAAAATCTTGTGTCTTTATCTTTATTATTGTTAAACATTATATTATATACTACTAACCTAGAGCGCCTATTTTTTTGTCTTATTTCTTACTAAAGCCCCCCACTTTCGGTGAATTGGGAGGGTAGCTTTTCTATTTTTAAGTATTTGGTATATATATATAGCTTATTTATTTTATTAATACTTTGATATATATAATTTATATTTTTTTCCTTTTTTCAAATATTACTATATATAATTATTACTTTACTATTTTTTTCTTATCTTACTTATTTATTTTATTTTTTCTTTGTATCTTATTTGTTTTCTTTACCTTGTTTATCTAACACATTTCTCGATTTTTTTAAAGGATATTTTCAAATCAATCAAGGGTAAGTAATTAGGATCGAAACTTTACCTTTTAATTTAACTTGTTATTTTTCTTAATTAAGACAACTGGAAATTACGTAGTACCGAAAGGGCGATTCAAGGGTGCTAATCCTTCCTTGACCGTAACCGACTCCCGAGCCTGACATATTTCTGGTAAGACGCAGATCAGGTAAGAAATAGTGTATCCGATCAACCCATTTATTTTTAAATAAATGATCGGTGGCGACTCCAATTCACATTTTTCTAAGTCGAAGCCCAATTCCGGGGCCCAACCGAAAGACGGTTGTGACAGCTTGACGACTCCGCTGGGGACACAGGTAAGTGAGTTAGACTAACGTAATTTCCAGTTGTCTTTTTAATGAAAAGGGTAAGTTTAAATTTTAAGGTAACATTTCGATCCTTATTACTTACTTTTGATTATATATTTTCGAGTAAATAGTTGTACTGGCCGTTTTTAATGATTTCAGCCCTTAAAGATTTTTCATCCAAAGGCTCTATACCCGAGCTCCAAACCCGTTTTAAGTGGGGGTGAAAGCGACGCCTTCGTGTGAATTTATTCACCGTATGGGCCTAGCAAGTAGCCTTCGGGATTCATATACCTTATGTCTTCGTGTGAATTTATTCTCCGTATGGGCATAAGGGAATGTGTCCTCTCGAGTTTAACTTAGTCCACACAAGCCTGTGATGGGTTTAGGACTAAGGGTCTGGTAGGCCCAAGGGGGCACCAGCAAGGAGAACTCGGGTATCGTTTTTTAGAACCTAACCCAGGAGACTATGGAGAAATTAAGCCTACCCCGAAACCACATTCCGAAACCTATGACATTTTTTTAACCTTGTTATTTTTGTGTATTTTACTTATTTATTTTTATATTATTATTTTACTAACCTTTTTGCCTTTGTGTTTTGTTTTATAGCATTTTGCATCATAACAAGAGGTTACTGATCCCTGAAAAGGTGTTTATTACATAAAATAATCTGAATTAATGGACAAAGGTGTTGTAATACAAGAGACTAAGAACCCCGAGGTACGACTATGGTCCGAGAAGACTCAGAAAGAAAAGGGAGACAACCTTCAAGAAAGCTATGTGTCAGAGCTGGTTAGCTACACATCTATCAGCCTAAAACAGAACAATGTGCAGGAGCTTCGAGATATCTGGGACAGTTGGAAGAATGATCGGAAACAGAAGTTCAGCCAACGGTACGGTGACATTGCACTTTTACTTCATGTCAGGATTGATGAGCCCTTGATTAGAGCCATGGTCTAATTCTGGAACCCGGGATACAGTTGTTTCACTTTTAACTGGGAGGACATGGTGCCTACTATCGAAGAATACACCACACTGCTACACTGTGAAAACATCAAACTAGGGCGAGTCTACGTTAAGCACACCAAAAGTCAGCCTTTCAAGAGTACACTGGCCAGAGTCGCGGGAGTAGACGAGAAATGGGTAATTGATCGGACTCAGCGCAGAGGCAGCGGGGAAGGAATTGAATGGATCCACATAAGGCAATTAATGAAGAACCACCCTGATGAGTAGAAAACTATAGACCTTTTCGCACTAGGTCTATACGGTTTGATTATTTTTCCGAAGGCTTTGGGGTGTATTGACGCAGCCGTGGTAGAATTATTTGAACAACTACCGAAACAAGTCAACCCAGCACCAGCCATCTTAGCAGAAACCTTTCGTTCTCTTAATCATTGCAGAAGAGTTGGTGAAGAAAGATTCATTGGGTGTGTTCAGCTCCTTCAAGTATGGATTCACAGACACTTCTGAAAGACCAACAGGGTTGCCTACCGTCGATTTAGCACTACCTATTCACCTTTGGGAGAGTTCATCACCATGAAATGGCATGAAGGTACTTCAAAAGAGAAGTGGATGAAAGTCTTCACTCATCTTCAGGACCGAGATATTGCCTGGAGAGCCCCCTGGTTGTTCCTCAGTGATGTTCTTTTCCGGTGTGAGGGCTCTGATACGATGACCTTGCTAGGACTTTGGGGTGCAGTTGGGTATGCTCCATTGTTAGCACTGAGACAGTATGGGGCATGTCAATTTGTCCCAGCAATATGCGGGCTATTTGGATCAGAGTTTGGGTATCACGGTAACAGCTATAAGAAGATGATCAAGGAAGCAACCGATTCTTGGAAGAAAATATTCCGAATGGACATCGTAGCTGCCAAGAACAAACTTACCCCGGATTATGTGGAATGGCGAAGATTGAGGAAAAATGACAATATTTCGGTGCCAGACTGTGAGGACACCCAAACTATAGAAGAACATCTCAGGCCTGTCCCTTCTGAACTCGAGATAGCCAAGACAGAGTTTGAAGCTGTGAATAATGAGTCGAGGCAGAGGATAAAAGAACTTGAGGTTGAGCGCTATCAGTGGAAGCTGGATGCTGATTCTTAGAAAAATAAAGCAGACAAACTGGAAAAGGAACAGAAAAGAGTCTGTTTCGAGCTCGAAGACTTAAGAAAGGGGTATCAAGATGCCGTCAAAGATAACTCCAAGTTAAAAATGTCATCCGAGTACTGGAAAGATGAAGCTCACAGCCTGAAAAGAAAGTTTGAGGGGCCTGATGAGAGAGTATGGAAGGAAAAGATGAAGATTGCTCAGAGGCGCTTAGCAGACAGTCAACATCAAAACCAACGCTTGAGAATCCAGATGACTGATCTGGAGAAACAGCATGAGAGAGATGGCAAAACAATAGGTGAGTTAGAAACTATCATAGATGGATTCAAAAAGCAAGCAGCCGAGCTTCAGATAGTGCCCTTTGATGGAGGTCTACAGTGGCGTTTCCGTTGAGAGCAAGCACAACAAAGGGTGAAGGCCAGAGACGCAGCCATCCGAGACTTCCTAGATCAAGTACAGAAGGTAGCCCGTCATCTTCATGGCCTGGCAAGGGAAGCCGAAGTGGTTCGACAAGGTATTCAACCAGTAACGGATGAAGGCAGAAGACTTGTCAATCTACTAGAAGCTATTCAGGGTTTAGAGGATTTAATCCCGAGTGTACCTTTGATTGTTTTTATGTCTCTTACAAGATAAGATATTTTTGTCTGAATAAAGATTATTTATAATAATGAACACTTTTTCTGGATCAGTGCCTCTAAGCTGCATACATCATGCATTGCATATTTTGCATTCTATATCTCATGTTTATTTCTATATTTTCCATGTTTTTACATTCGTATTAACAAACAGAACATGTTTCAGAAAGCGAAAGAGAAAACACCAAGTCTACCACTACAGAAATTAAATTCGCATCATCCGTATATAATACCCGAGCAAAGAAGAGACAAATGGAGACCAGAATGGAAAAACTTGAGGAGAACATGACGAGACTGCAAAAAGAATTGGAAGACAGGTTGGCTCAAAATAGTCAAAGCACCCTAGAGTTCATCAAGAAGAACCATGAGTCATTGGTTGATCAAATTGTGGCCAAGTTATCTGGATTACAGCAAGCTAGTGTAGTAGAGGGAGGTTCCTCCGGAGGGGTAATCATATCACCAGCCCCATAGGTGGTTATCTCACCCGAGATCATACCAACACCACAAGAGAACTCTTATGCTGTCAAAAGAAAAGCACCATCTGTTGTAAAGGTGCAAACTTCCACAACTAATCCTGATAATCGTCCAGATGATTACGGTATCCCGGATTTCGATGAAGATGACAAAGTAAAGAAGATAGAAGAAAAGATCAGGATGCTAGAAGATCGAATGAAGTTGGTCCAGGGGGATCATGACTATTATGGAGTGGACGCAAGAGAGCTGAGCCTAGTTCCAGATTTGGTGCTTCCGCCAAAATTTAAAGTTCCTGAGTTTGAAAATTCGATGGAAACAGCTGCCCATCTTCCCATATCACTATGTTATGTCGGAAGATAACAGGATATGGAGGGAATGACCAACTCCTGATCCACTGCTTTCAGGAGAGCCTGTCCGGTTCTGCTATCCGTTGGTATAACCAGCTCAGCCGAACTCATATCAAAACATGGAAAGACTTAGCCAAGTCCTTTCTGGAACAATATAAACATATCAACGATATGAGACCAGATCAGGTTATGCTACAGAGCTTGGAAAAGAAGCACAATGAAAGTTTCCGACAATATGCACATCGATGAAGGGATTTGTCTGTGCAGGTTCATCCGCCCTTGGATGAAAAGGAGATTAAAAAGTTATTTGTACAAACTCTGAAGGCACCTTATTTCGGGCACCTGGTGGCAATTACATATGGAGGTTTCTCAGATCTAGTTATGGCTGGCGAAATGATTGAGTTGGCCATTAAACAAGGGAAAATCGAAGGAGGAGACTCTAGTAAAAAGCCTCCCATGAAGAACAAAGATCGAGAGGTCAACAATGTCAGTACCTACAACGCCAACAAAGGTGTTACGGTCTCAAGTCCAAAAACTGTTGCAGTTGTACCGTCTAGTACTTCTAAACAAACTCAGAGAAAACCAAGGAAAGAAAAGATTTGCATCAGTCCAATCCCAATGACATATGAGGAGTTACTCCCAACGCTAGTTGAGAAAAATTTTGTGACTCTAGTTCAATCCAAACCTAGAGAGGCCCCATATCTTGAAGGTCATGATATTAACGCCGTATGCAGCTATCATATTGGGAGCTCAGGGCACACCACTGAGAATTGTGGGGCATTGAAACGTAAGGTCCAAGATCTGATCGATTCAGGGGCATTCACTTTCAATATGTAATGGGGCATTCTGATCGAGAGTCATATGGAGCATCCATTAGGAATTTTGTTGCATTATCAAGTATATCATCTTGTTTGAACTTGTTTTTCTTTCATACTTCTTATGCGTGAACATTTTTAAGTCACTTGACGTTTAAACATTTTAAATAAAATGCTTCTTTCTTAGGAGATGAGCAAATTTTAATCTTGAATTCCTTGAATATCACCTCAATTAAAAACTGTTTAATAATTGAGGTTATAAATCTTTGACAAATGACAAGATTGAACCCTACAAAACAAAGACCCCTTGGTTCTAATTTAAAAGATACATCAGACTATATATTTTTCTCTTACCAAGCTAAGTTTTCTCTTCTCATGAAGAGTCCATCCAAGGTTTGGTATTCAGACACGTATTAAGAGCGAACAGAATAGGGCAACTAGTACATGAGATTGCAAAACTAATTGGTTTATACACTTGTTTATGATGTTCAGGGATGATAATGATCTTCACAGATGGAACAGTCGAGTAAGCAAATCTAGTTTAGGTCAGTTGTTTGGAAATTGAACTCTAAAGATGAGATCCCTTGACTTTCAAAAACACCTAGACTATAACAAGTTCTTCTTGACAATCTTAAGAAATTAAATCCGTAAAGCTGAGCTATTCCACTAAGGCAATTGGTTATAGAGGAAACTCGAAAGCCCTGGCTTTATGAATAGATTATGTTCAAACTATGACACTGCTCGGACACTTGGCAATTCGGTGTTTGCTCCACTGCTTTTGTCAGGCCAAAGACTTTTTGATGAGATGAACCCTTCAGTGATTTGTCCCTCTAAATCTGAGCTATTCCACTAAGGCAATTGGTTATAGAGGAAACTCGAAATCCCTGGCTTTATGAATAGATTATGTTCAAACTATGACACTGCTCGGACACTTGGCAATTCGGTGTTTGCTCCACTGCTTTTGTCAGGCCAAAGACTTTGTGATGAGATGAACCCTTCAGTGATTTGTCCCTCTAAAGCTGAGCTATTCCACTAAGGCAATTGGTTATAGAGGAAACTCGAAAGCCCTGGCTTTATGAATAGATTACATTCAAATCATGACATTGCTCAGACACTTGGCAATTCGGTGTTTGCTTCACTGCTTTTGTCAGGTCAAAGACTTTGTGATGAGATGATCCCTTCAGTTAAACCTGATAAAAGTGATTATAAGCTGTCCCTATAAAGCAATTGGTTGAACACCCTGACTTTATGGATTCGGCTAGCCAGACAATGGCAAAATAAATCAAATTCATCTAAAAAGAAATTTTCGGTAATAATAGACTAAGGAAGTTGAGAAACACCTGTTATAGTCAAATTCACACAAGCACTCAAGAATTTCATTTTTTAGACCGATATTTCTGCACTACCTTTGTTAGAAGAGCTTACGAAACTTGAACAAATGGAAGATTTTAGAGAACTGAAACAGAAGTGTTCTGAAAGGTCTAGTCATTGATTATGCTAGTTGTGTCATGTTGTTCGCCTCTGATCAAAATACCAAATCAAGAAAGAGGGGCATGCCATGATCTTCACGATAACCAAATCGATGAAACAAACCCACCTCTAGACCAACTTTTCGATCTTGATATTTGTCAAAGATTTGCAGCTATCAAAGATTAAAAGAGTGTTTGATTCTTTTGATATCCAATGAACTCATGTTTTATGATTTGCTTCAATTGTGAAACCTAGAAAGAGGTAACTTTTTCAAAAGTTCTTTTTGATATTTTTCAAAACTTTGAAAATTCGAAAGAAGAAAAGCATTTTCAAACAAGATAAGTTCTCTGGAAGCATATCTTGGAATTCAAAAAATATCGCTCCAAAGCTCAAGATCGAAACAGAGGCAAATGAAACCATCTTTGGGGCAAAATTTGATAAGGGAAGGAAAAATTGTCTTGAGGTCTGCAAGAGTACACCCTAGTGGAAATGAAGACAAATTAAGTCAGAATGAAGACTGCACACGCAACCATTCCCCTCACATCTCAACATATACATCAACACGTACATACATGACGCATGAAATTTGCATCTTTGAATTCATCATCATGAGCAATAAAAACCTTGATTTTTCCTCCCTTGAGGGCAAATTCAACAGCAAATAAATTTCATTTGGGCATACATCAAGCATACATCATTAGGATAGTTACATCCATATACATTTTACAGATCTTTCAGGAGAAGATGAGATTAAAAGCCAACTCGACAGATTGAAAGATCGACATTCATCTCTAGATTCAACATTTCCAATATAAACTTTGTCTCACTTAAGATAGTCTCATTTAATGCAGATGATTATCTCACTCAAATTTGTTTTTCTTAAAACATACTTTGTCTCACTTGAGACTGTTTTTCTCGAAAGAAGATTTATTTCACTCAAGATTATTTTTCTTAAAACAAGATTTGTCTTGCTTGAGACCATTTTCACTCGAAAGAAGACATTTCATTTCACTCAAGGCTGTTTTTTTAAGAAGATTTTATCTTGCTTGAGATAGTTTCCCTCGAAACAGAAAATTTTGTCTCCCTTGAGACAGTTTCTCTTGAAAACATTTCCCTTGAAATTAATTTTTTCTCTCCTGAGATAGTTTCCCTCGAAACAGAAAATTTTGTCTCCCTTGAGACAGTTTCTCTTGAAACATAAACATTGAAAACATTTCCCTTGAAATGATTTTTTTCTCTCTTGAGATAGTTTCCCTCGAAAAAGAAAATTTTGTCTCCCTTGAGACAGTTTCTCTTGAAACATAAACATTGAAAACATTTCCCTTGAAATGAATTTTATCTCACTTGAGATAGTTTCCCTTGAAACGAATTTTGTCTCCCTTGAGACAATTTCTCTCCAAACATAAACTTTGAAAACAATTTAACGAAATCTTTGAATATGTTTTCCTTCAAACAAATTTTGTCTCCCTTGAGACAGTTTCTCTTGAAACGACACAATTTTCTCGAGAATAGATTTCAACTTCACGACGAAGGATGTCTAGCTCGAAGCCAAACATCCGCAATTTCAACTCCACGACGGAGGATATCGTGACACTCGAGACAACAAAAGTTCAACTTCACAACGAAGGGACGGCTGGTTGTCAACAAACAACTTCTCAATTTCAGAGCCAATTTCAACTTCACAACGAAGGATATTGGACTCCAGACAACGCAAGTTCAACTTCACGATGAAGGGACCGCTGCTTGTTAACAACAACTTCTCAATTTCAGAGCCAATTTCAACTTCACAACGAAGGATATTGGACTTCAGACAACGCAAGTTCAACTTCACGACGAAGGGACCGCTGCTTGTCAACAACAACTTCCCAATCTCAGAGCCAATTTCAACTTCACAACGAAGGATATTGGACTCCAGACAAAGCAAGTTCAACTTCACGACGAAGGGACCGCTGCTTGTCAACAACAACTTCCCAATCTCAGAGCCAATTTCAACTTCACAACGAAGGATATTGGACTCCAGACAACGCAAGTTCAACTCCACGACGAAGGGACCGCTGCTTGTCAACAAAATTTCATTCAGAGTCAATTTCAACTTCACAACGAAGGATATTGGACTCGAGACAACACAAGTTCAACTTCACAACGAAGGGACGGCTGGTTGTCAACAAACAATTTCCCGGTTCCAGAGCCAATTTCAACTTCACGACGGAGGATATTGGACTCGGAACAATGCTACTTACTTGGATTTCAACTTCACGACGAAGGATATCCAACTCAAAGAAGGATTATCTGCCATCAAAATTGTCGAGCTCGACTCCATTCAGCTCGATGACACATCAATCGCACTACTTTCCGGTTGCAGTCGAGGTTTTCAAGTCGAGAAGATGACCTGGGTTAGCCGTGCCTTAGTGACAAGCAACCATTTTCAAACAACATAGCTTAAGTCAAGAAAAAGCTATCTGTCAATGAAGATTTCTGAGTTCGATTCCGATCCAAGGTCTTTAAACTGAGAAGAAAACCGAAGGGTAACGGGAAGCCACGTGCTGATTCAAATTCCGAACTACGGCTTCAATTTCATATCATTTCAAGATGAACTCGACTTCACGATGGTGGAGTCTTCCGTAACTCAATTCGACAGGGAGTTATTGAAACATCAGAGTTAATTTTCAACTCCACTGAACGAAAAATGTGTCTTTTAATCTTTGCCCTATCCCAGTTACACGACTATGGGCAAAGAGGGGCAGCTGTCAACACACATTATCGTCCTACTAGGATTCAAACTCCTAAAAATAGGATAAAATTTTGCTAGGATTCAAACTCCTAAAAATATGATAGAGTTCTACTAAGATTTAAATTCCTAAAGATAGGATCCACAAGCACTATAAATAGCCATTGTAACTCACCATTGTAAGACACGATTTACACACAAAACATAGAGGAAAGCACAGGAAGATACAAAGGCAAAACTATTGTAAAGGATTCGAAAAGGAAATAAAAGGTAGCATTTTCTTTTTTCTTTCTTTTGCATGTGCACGTTACTTTTCTTGAGATTTGGTTCGAATAACCCAAAACGTTGGTTGCGCCGATGACCAAAATGGGTGGGGTTTTGAAGTTTCGAACCTAGATCTACCCCGAGGCTTATTTTTAAAAAACGGTTTATTTTCGGTTAAAGGAGGGAAAGAGCTTTTTAAAAATCTATATTAGTCCCTTTATTATTATATGGATATTTTATTCATTTTTTTTATTATTATTATATATATATATATTAAATTATCATTTATTTTTTACTATATTTTATTATTATTATATATATTTATTTAATATTTTACTTATAAGTCTAATATTATATATATATTGTAATTATCTTTATCTAGTCGTATATATTTTTTATACTTTTATAGTTTATTTATATACCTATTATTAAATATATATTTAATATTTTTATTTGATTATTTCTTTATGTAATATATCTTATAATTTTATATATTTATATTATTTTTTATTATTTTCGTTTTTTTATTAATTATTATTATTTAAAAAAAAAAACCTTGTATCTTTATCTTTATTATTGTTAAACATTATATTATCTACTAACCTAGAGAGCCTATTTTTTGTCTATTTCTTACTAAAGCCTCCACTTTCGGTGAATTGGGAGGGTAGCTTTTCTATTTTTAAGTATTTGGTGTATATATAGCTTATTTATTTATTAATACTTGATATATATATATATTATATATATATTTATATTTTTTTCCTTTTTTCAATATTACTATATATAATTATTACTTTACTATTTTTTTTCTTATCTTACTTATTATTTTATTTTCGTTTGTATCTTATTTGTTTTCTTTACCTTGTTTATCTAACACATTTCTCGATTTTTTTTAAAGGATATTTTCAAATCAATTAAGGGTAAGTAATTAGGATCGAAACTTTACCTTTTAATTTAACTTGTTATTTTTCTTAATTAAGACATCTAGAAATTACGTAGTACCGAAAGGGCGGTTCAAGGGTGCTAATCCTTCATTGACCGTAACCGACTCTCGAGCCCGACATATTTCTGGTAAGACGCAGATCAGGTAAGAAATATGTATCCGATCAACCCATTTATTTTTAAATAAATGATCGGTGGAGACTCCAATCCACATTTTTCTAAGTCGAAGCCCAATTCCGGGGCCCCAACCGAAAGACGGTTGCGACAAGGTGAAGAGCAAGCAGCAATAACCAGGGAACTTGGCCTGAATGAGAGAAGTTTGATTATGTAACCCAAAATTTGAACTGGGGCTTTTAAAGGAGAAAAGAAAAGGTTGTGGGAATGTAGAAAGTTTGAATTTTGACTGAAAGAAAACGAGGTTAAAGAAAGGAGAGGCCCAAACTGCAACTTCTGACCAATTATACCTTCAAAATGTGTTCTAAAACGGATCCTTATTTGTCCTTTTGTCAGACACGAATGATAAATGTTAAGAAGAGAAAGTCAGAACAGAAGCGAAGAAATTCCAAACCATATTCCGCGTTATTGCTCTGTTCTTTCCGCTTTGATCCATGTGGGCGGAAATATAGGGCGCTTACGAGTTACGTGTACTGAAGTTTCTATTTTTATAATACATGCATGGTCCTGCTAGTGTTTCATTCTTCACGTGCTTAAGATTAATTTTCTTTTTCTAGTTTTTAAATGGTGGGATTCCATTTTTCTTCTGGAGTCATAACTGTAGTCTGGAGAGAAAATGGCAAGGCATAAGTCTAGGGTGCTTTAGCCATCGTTGACCCACCCTCACCTCAAACTCTTCCATCATATTTTTGTTTTGATAATTAATTTAAAAAAACAATAATTTAATAACTCAACTTTGATATTACTTTCTTCTTTATCACTCGAATGTTAAATTAAAAATAATATTTTGGCCTATATTTTTGTTGATATAAGTTTTTTTCATTGTAGAAGCCATGTATTGAGTACTTCAAATTTTTTTCTTCATTTTATTATATTTTCAACAAATTTAAAACTCTTAGAGTTTTATTTTTCGCATCATTAAAATTGTTATTTTATGATGTCTTTTATGATCACTTTAGATATCAATAAACTCATCTCCTCGTTCTCTATCACTCTATCAGTTTGGATTTTCTAAAGATCATTTTAAAGCTCGTGAAACTTCAACTTAAAACTTAAAGAAAAATGAGTCCGACCTACAATCCTTATCATTTGATCACTGTGGAATCAAAATATTTTACTTGACTCCTTTTCAACTTTTATATCGTTGTAATATTTTTTCCATCTTAAAACTAAAATAAAATTTGATAAGAAATATCTTAGGGATATTTTGTTAACTAAAAATATTGAAATTTTATCATAATTTTTAAAAGATTGATATCTTATCATAACATGATTAATTATTTAAAAATTGTGTGATTAAAAAGTAAAAAAATATTAGAATTAAATAAATTAATTAAAAAATTTAAATTTAATAATTAAAACAAATTTATGATCAAAGTTCGTTAGTTTTCCTTCGCGAAGTGCTATTAGGCGGATGGAATTCAACTTTATCGATTAAATTCGTCGTGTTTGTTGGGTCTTCAAATGTGAAACTTGCAAATTAGACAAATAAAAGGTTTATTTATTTATTATTATTTGAATAGATCCTAACCTAAATTCTATTAGGAAAACATAATATTTAAATATTATATACTATTTTTATCTACAATATACTATGATTGCAGCTGCACATATAAAAAATTTAATTAATGTAGAATTTATAATAAAATAAAATTAAATGATTAAGATATGTACGAAATTATTTAATAATCATAGGGTTTAAGTATACAAAAAGATGCCTAATTTATGTTTTTTTTTAGTTTAGTACCTAACATTTCATTTATTTACTCAAAATAGGTTAAGTTCGGACCGTTAAGTTTGACCATCAACCCATTAAAAATGTCACCTGATATATTTTTTAATATTAAAAAATGATTTCTGAAAATAAGAAATTTATTAAAATATAAAATTTTTGTGCTTTTCTTCATAGTGGATGCCCATCCAATATGGAGACATGGAGAAATAAAACATACCTATAACTTTCTTCTTAGTATTAAACTCCAGTGACAAGTCAGA